CTACACACATACAAAAACATACACATACAAAAAACACACACACGTACATACACATATGCACATAAAAACACATACACATATAAACACATACACACACACACCTATATACTCACATGAACAAACATCAAGTATACACATACTCACAAATACCTGAACACACACACATACACATACACATACATACACATACACTAGTTCACCAATTGACACAACCACATACACACATACATTCAATTTGCAAGCTAATGTCGTCGCTGCTGCAACAATCGAATTACTTCGTGTTGTTCTCTAGCTTCCACACCAATCGATGAAATTCGGGATCATCACATGCAGTTCGGTGATACGCCTTCCCCTCGCTGTCCCTGCTGTCTGTGGGTTTCCCAAGGTTCGTAAAATTCACATTTTCCCCCCTGGTTAAAACCGATTTTTCACTCACTCATCCTCCCTGGACCCCCTTCCCCCTCCCCGCTCTCCGCCTTTTACCCATCTCCCTCAGCACAGGAATTACACCGGAAATACCACAATCGCCCAGGCAATCAGTATCAACATCCCATGTTAGTGCTGCTAATACACTTCAAATTATACGGCCAAGAAAAACCTCCCGTAACTCATCGAATGAATGGGTAGCATAGGCGGGTCCGGGACGGACTCCTACGGAAGAGGAAGAAGCGGCGGGAGGTAGGGAGCGAGTGAGGATACTAGGGAGGAGAGGAGGGGGACGGGAGATGGGGCGGAGAGTGCCTTCCCATCTCGGAGCTATGCAAAAACTAGGAATAGAGTTGTGCAACACTGCTACTTAGGGTTACTTTAGGCTTCAGTTTAGCTTTAGCTTTAGACCCGGGCTTTTGCAGCACTGATAACTGTTCCCTTTGCTCTCCTCCCCTCTCTGGACCCGTCTATGAGGAGGGGGAGAGGTGCAGCTGGACACGGCGGAAGGGGGTTGGGGGATAGGGCGGCAACTGAAGGGTGGAGTGGGGGCCGGCCGAGAGAGGGGAGTGTGGTGGCGAAGGGAAAAGGAGAGGTGAAAAAATCACTCCCTCCCAGCAGACTGCCCTGGATCCGCCTATGTCCTTGCTTGAGGACAACAAGTACCACAGCGTTTCATCCTCCGCTACTTCTGTCCTGCGGGTAAAAAAGGGGGTGGGGGAAAGACATCAAATATGGGAAAAAGTCACGTGTTGAGTGCAAACGTGACGTAAACAGCCCGGGGCCGAAGGACCTGCCTGACTGCGATCGGCATGCACAAGCACGCCCAGTGACGTCACCAAATACAGAACACCCACAATGAAAACCCGCGAGCCCCGCTACTCCTGGCAACTACAGGAATATAGCTTGGCTAGTTTGGGAGACGAATTGCAGTGACTGGAAGGCGCCAATAGAGGGGCGGAGCGGGGGAGGGAGGAGAAATTGTCGAGTGGGGAGAAACAGAGGCGGAGCCTGAGTTTATGAGAGGGCCAAAAGGGAGCCTGTGGGTTTTTCCTGCCCAGCATGAAACATAGTCCCGGAAAGAAACCAGTCATCCGACACACAC